CGGGAAAGTTCACGCATTCTAGTACTGCAAGCATATACCATTTAATCGCGTTTATGCTTTTTCAAATATAAATTTTCGAAATTTGCAATAAATAAACCTTTGTTTAATTTAAAAGCAATATCATCGCCTTTTATCATGTCAAAAACCTACAAAGAAGTATTTTGTTTTTATTATTGTTTTTGCCGATAGACAATAGAATCTTCGGTTTCCAGACCCAGCAATGTACCTACATTTCTACTCACGTTCTCTGCTCGCAAATTTAAAAACACTACTTTTACCCTTATCGTTAGGTTTAATAACAATCATTTTCCAAAATCCTAGTGATTTTAAATGTACATCGAAATTTACGATCTAATTTAGAAATGATTCTTTCATTCATTTTACTAAATACAAAATAATTAAAAAATTTTAAATGGAGCTCGAAATTTACGATCCAAATTAGAAATCATTTTTTTAGTTTATTTTACTAAATACAAAATAAATAAATTTTTATCTAAAGTTTTCTTCCACCCCAAATGTTTTAAATTAGTGTGAACATGATTTATTACGGTCCAAACCATTGATTTGGGTACTACAGGTAATCAAAGTGAACAATTATTTTTCTTTATTTTTCGGAACAGCATATTGTTTAGAATATCATATGTTTTGTTTTTTTTTGCAATATTAGGGTCGAGGTCGTTGCACTTCAGATCGGCAATAAGTTTTAAAAGGCTGTCATCGCATTGTTGAGCTACTAGCAGCCAGTCTTTTTATAATTCGATATTTTGAATAACGTTAAGGGGTTTAGAATTTTTATCTTTCGGTGCACTCGGATTTTGAACCTTGTATTTAAATTAGGAGTACTATGATTTCGAGACAAGAAATTATCACACGATTGTAAAAGTGCCCACCAGCGATGTGCACGAGGCGTAAGATCATGTTTTGTACGTGAAGACTTAAGAGAAATACAGTCCGTAAAAAACTGTAAAATAATTTTCCAATAAGTATCGAAAGTGCTTGACAGCATTAACAACGGCAGATGTTCGTTTACTAAAATATGCGACAGGGTGATTTTTGTAGAAATCCGTATGAATGTTATGAAAATTCGTGTTTTCTGAATATTTAATTTACGACTAAAAGAGTCCAAACGAACAGCAATATTTAATTTAATTAAATCATTTCCCATAATAATAATAATAATAATAATAATAATAATAATAATAATAATAATAATAATAATAATAATAATAATAATAATAATAATAAACACATTTAGTTTTATAATAATATTGGGCGAGATAAAATCGTCCGGTACCAAGAAAAATAAATTCTAAATTAATATTTTCTCAATCTCAATCACAATTAAAATTTGAGTACTACATAGTGAAGAGCGATTACTAACACCCTGTAAAGTAGTTAAATTGCTTAAACGTTTACCATTAAATTTAGATGCAATATGTTCTTTCAAAAGAGAACAGTCTGAACCTGTGTCAAATAAAAAAAGGAAAGGTCTCACCAGATCTAATCTTCAAATGACCTACGGGCAAGGATATTGATCCTTTTCTCTTCAATTCTTCATTTGCTGCCTGAAGATGGACAGTCCGGAGAAATATGTCCTAACTTGCCACACTTAAAACAAGTAACCTCTCCGTCAGTCTTCTTGCTTTGGAAGTAGACACTTGCAGTTGGGTTTTTGCAATAAGCAGCCTTGTGTCCCGCCTTTTCGCACGTAAAACAATTTTCAGGACGTTTATGGAAACTTTTATTTTTAAAGGTCAGAGACAAAGGTTGGCGCTTTGATCCAGTATGATGACTAGAGGGAAATAGGGCCTAACGTTTGCCTAGACGCCCTTGTAACATGGTGCACATACTTTTTGCATCAACTGGTTTATCAGTTACCATTACAGCAAACGATTCGTCGCTTTCTCTATTTTTTAATGTTAACATGTTTTTCATCGAAAATAGCATTTTGTCAATTAATGCCACTTCATGTGAATTATTTTTTCTTGCCATTAATTGCCTCAGAAAAAGCTTCCAAAGAATCGAATAATTTTGTAAAGACTGCTAAGAACTCTGCTTTTAATTTACTCCACTGCTGTTGGCAAAATTGAGGTCGGCAGCATTATCTGTTCAAGTCTTTTACTTCTTTCGAGTCACTTCACAAACTGCGTTATTTTCGTCACTTTCACTGTCCGAATATTGCACTGGCACCCTTGATCCGCACTTCTGATGTCAGAGATTAATGAGGGAACTGAGGGTTAGGCTGCCTACAAATTTTATAAGAATGCACGACACTGGCTTTTAATTTAAAGTTATTTAATAAAACACGTAGTCAGATAAATCCGCACAGAACACAAAATTAATATTAATCGTCCCAATCTAATTATTAGCTATAAAAAGGAAACCAACGATCCGCGACCCGCTAGATTAACAGTAGTCAATCAAAAATCAATTCAGAGATGCAACTTGTCTCAAAACACGTCAAGCACTCTCTGCCCGGGCCCGTTTCGTTCGCAAGCTTATCTTGGCGGTTTCCATAAAAAACTAGGGGGCGTACCCTTAACACATTTTCTATGTTTTAAAAACTACAAATATTTTGTCTAGACAAATTCACATAAATTATATCAACTAAAATAAACGTATCGTATTAGTGTTAGACTTTATCATAAACACCCAATACGAGGAAAATGACATTCTCCACATGCTTGGCACTTTTTGTTTAGCCTAAACATCGTCACACAAATCTTATCAACAAAAATAAACAAAAGGGAAAGAAAGAATCATGAGCGTGGACGCCGACAAGTATGTATAATCTAGATTATTTTTAAGAAACATAATAACCCCGTCATTCTGATTCAACGTACCTTCACTATATATAATATTATATCCATCCAGTTTGACATAATTAACATCTACTTTCCACATTTCCGATAAAATTATGCAATCAAATTGATTCAAAAACTGCTCCAAAAATACCTCAAGTTCGGGCAAATTTTTCCTAACACTCCTTATGTTCAATTATAGAACCTTAAAATTTAAAATATTAGAATTTACTTGAAAAACTTCATTACACTCGTGGGTACTGTTAAGTACATACGTGTGTAAGGCATCACATGACTCAAAATCATTCAGAAAAGAATCCATTGTATGTATAAATAAATGAATATGTAAATATAATTTATAACCTCTTTTTAAAACTTAATTAGGACAACAAATAATAAGAATATAAATAATAATAAATAAACTATTGTATGTATAAATAAATAAATATATAAATATAATTTAAAACCTCCTCTTAAAACTTAATTACGACAACAAATAATAAGAATATAAATAGTAATAAATAAACTACCTAGCTAACTAATCAAAAGTTTAGCCTAAAATATTTACCCTAAGATTTAAAAATTTAAAAAGAAAAATACATGAAACAAAGTTTGCACTATAGTGTTAAAACCCTGTTAAAGGAAAATATAAATATTAAATACGAAAACAACTAAATAAACAGTTCAAAAATGTATATGAATACAATAGTGACAATTTTTCGTTATTTATTTTTATTTGTCGCGGCTGCGGTTGTGGCCCGAGCTGCTTTGCGTGCCGTTTCTGCCTTCTTATCCGTAGGTGGTGTAGAGGTGGACGCTAGTTTTGGTCTTTTAATTTCTTGGCTTGCTACTGCTTCCCATTCCTCTTCAGATAATAGGTTTTTTGACGGTCTTGAGGGTTTGGAGTAGACGGAGAACTAGATGATCTGCGTTCTTCCAAACTTATATTAAAATTTTCGAGATCCTTAACAGTATATACGTCTTCGCCAATAATTAGTTTGTCACCTTTAATTTTTGCACTTAAGCCTTTTGATGAAGCTTCCTTTTTGTGTTTTTGAAGTAATTTGTTTGCCGCTAGGTCTTCTTTACAGAGGTCCGGGTTTATATAAATTGATTTTCCCTTAAGTCTGTGAGCGTTTTGAAGAATTTCCGCTTTTTTTGGTAAGATATAAATTCTAATAGAATCGGGGTATTTGGATTATTCTTGGGCCCCAACTTGTAGACGTCGCACACAGGAGTATTTGGTTGAAAAACCCGGTCAAAAATATTTAACGGCTAAATTTGATTTAATTTAATTAAAAATGTAACTATCAATAGAAATTAGTGTAAAAAAATAAATGACAATGGTTTTATAAGTAGGAACACATTTATACAGGGTGGTGCAACCAAGAGGGGGTGGACTATTGTGGGAAAACGGCGAGAAGTTTTGAAAAAAGGTTTTTTTGCATATTATTGGTAATCGAGCTGACTATGTTTTAAAAATATAGCCATAGTACAGAGTATCCCGAAAATTTCGTGACAAACTAAACTTGTATTTTTTTAAATGGAAGAAAAATACACGATAAATTTGAAAGCCTTTAAATTAAACAGCACACAATAATTAATATCGATGGAAGTATTGTAATTAATAATTTTTCGGCCTTTTTTGTAATTAGATAAATACCTTTATCTACGCCAGTGAGATAAGAACTTCTTATCCCACTCATTTTGAGTGAGATAAGAAGTTCATTAACGCACGCGTTTTTCTCTGCTTTTAACCAATCAAATAAAAAAGTCAAAATGTCAAAATGTCAAAATGTCAAAATAACCCTAAATTAAGTCTTAGACAAAAATAATTACCGTTTATTTTTTCATTTAGAGGCGTAGATAAAAATTTGTACAATATACGTGTGATAACGCTTTATTAACGTACTTTTGCGATTGCCCAACTCGTGCTACGCACTCGTTGGGCAAATTTCGCATGCGTACGTTAATAAAGCGCTTATCCCACTTATATCGTAAATAACTATTCCCAACCTAAATATACAAGTTATATATAATATATATAATATATTATAAAAAGTCGATTAAATAGTATACAAGTAAGTGTCGATAACATTAATGTAATTAATTAATAATTATTATTGTACTGAAAATTAATTTGATTTATTTTTAGTTAGTTAAACAAAGAAAACATAATGAGTTTAAAGAAATAACAAATTAAATTAAATTTTCGTCATTGTCTGTACCATGAATTTCTTCATTTTCAGGTGTATCTGGCACAAGCAGGCGCAGTGTCTCGGGCAGAAATGGTTGACTCGACTTTTGCGTTCGACTTTTTTTGCTGAGACTAACAAATTTGTCCGATGTGAGCAATAATCTTTGCAGAACATCTCTATTGGAGAGGGTCCTGGAGAATTTTCTGGAATAATTCTGTCTATACAAACGAAAATTTTTATTCCTGGCTTCTGCAGCCTCCTCGGACATTTGTCCGATAGGAACAATAGCGTATTTGATGACAGTCGCCCCGTGCACAAGGATCTTGTGGAGTGTCGGTGTCATTGGATGCCATCCATATAAATTCGTGTACATTTCCGCAGTCTCTTTTGCAAATATTGAAAACTTAGTCTCATCAATTTTATGACCAGATGACAAACATTCTAATATTACTTTTAATTTGTAAATAAAAGAGAGATCTATACCTGTGATATTTGCAGCTGTTTCATTATCACTGAAAAATCGTCTAGAGTGTTTCCAGAGTTTAAGTTACCGAAACCTGCCTTGGGCATGTCAATTATTAATCTTGTTCGGTCTTTAAATTCCCTTTGAATTTTTTGTTTCGTTTTCTTAACAATCAATTTCTCCTCTGGTGTTCTGGCTTGCCACTTCTTCAGTGGGAGTTTATAGGCAATATGAAGAAGGGTATCAAATAGCCTTATTCTCGCATGAAGAATAGAAAGTCCGAATCTCAGGGCTTCTGGATTTTCGACATTTTTGTTTTGAAAGTCGTTAAAAATTTTCGAAGTTTTTCCACAAATGTAACATTTCATTGTAGAGCTTGTATTTGTAGAGGAATTGCAAACTTTGCCGTCAACCATTGTAGGTATCATCGTATGTTTAACCTGTATCACTCCATTACAGGTTTGGACTTCCGTTTTTCGCAAATTCTTTACTTGGTTTTCCATATAATTTATTTCCTCTTTTGTGACATCAACGGTTTCGTGGAGGAATCTAATACGAATAGGCCGACAGAATCTTACTGAAGATGGTGTCGGATTTTGCCACATGATTTTCGTGTAATTGTCAGTATTGACTTGCAGTCTTAGGGGCACCATGGAACTTTGGAAAATATTCGAGTCATCACTTGTTACATCATTAAACTTCTGTTGAAACTGCGATTGTTGTGAGGCATCACAACCCCATTTCGTGATTAACTCAATATGTCCTATTTCGTTCTGAACAAAGTGATCAAACACCTCCCCTAAATATTGGCAGAGTCTTAATGTTGTGTGATCAAGAAGGTCTTGATGGCGAACTTCTGCACATTTTCTTTGCTTCTTTAATTATGGAGTAGCACGGATATATATTGGGATTAGACTCTCGTAATATGTCGTACTGTTTCTTTGTCAATCCCATATTAACAAAAAGAATCAGAGCTTCAGCCGGTGAATGCTTGACAAATTCTTTAGTTTTCTTCTTGCTTGCTTTCATAATTTTGTTTGCCCGAGTTGGAGACGCTGTAATTTCTTTTATAATTTTAGATGCATCTAAGTTTCCCGAAGCTCGCTGGCTGATGCTAGCTGCATATGTCAGTTCTTCGAATAAACTTTTGTGGTCGACCAGGTTTGGAAATAACATGTGATGCCCAAGTGTGTATTGATATAGAAGTCTCCAACCAAGCGTTATTTTTCTTCAAAAAACGTTCTTCAGTGTTATTTGCCAAAGACCATCTTTTTTTTAAGTCGGACTTAAAATGTCTTAAATCACGGCTTATAATGTGAGACTTGCTTTCGGTACAATTTGTTTTCTCCCGAAGTGCCTGTTCCATGAAATTTAATTTGTCTGCTAAATTTCGTTCTCCACTCTCTTTGCAAAGTAAATACAATGATTTTCTAGGCAGTTCAATGATATTGTTTGTTGAATCTGTAAATAAAAAAACTATATGTCGCGCGTTTCGAAGAAAAGTGTAATAAATCAAAAAAACAAAGTTTTATAGGACGACTTTTTAGACTTTTTTAAAAACAACTTTATCCTTTTTTTTACCAAAAAAGCCGTCAGATAGTGGTAGATTTAGAGGCCACATTTTCGCATACACGCTTCCAAAAGGGTTGAAAATAATAGCTTAACTGAATTTTGTTGAACAAAATAATATAGGTAGTCTGTACTTTGATTTTACGTAGAGTATTAAAAAAAACGTGGACAGATAGGTGAAATTTTCTGGGTGTGATATACACATTAGTTATAGTTTATGAAAAAAATTAATTTACTACTCGATCGTGCACGGCAAACTACTAAAACACCTCGAGTATAAACACTTAATTAATTGCTTAAAATTTTAAATTGTTTAAAATTAGTTGTATTCAAACTGCTTAAACTTCAAATTTACACTCAAATTATACATTATTAGCAAGTACTTACCTTCTTCTTTGGAATTCATAACAAATATTTTCTTAAATCAACGAAACAGCATATAAAACCCGCTACAATTTAAATACAATTTGGAGGTTATCAATACCACTATAAGGGAACGAAATTTTGCATAGATTCGCGCTATCTGTTTGAAAACGGGCGAGCGCTAGGATTCCAGTTAAAACTTGTTTAAGCTTGCGTAATCATTGACGAGTTCAAATGGTGCATTTTTGAAAATTTTGCTGATAGTTTATATTTTTTACTTTTGACCGGTTATTCAAACCAAATACTCCTGTGTGCGTCGTTAATATCTGCTTCCACAATAGTGACTTTTAGATTTGTGCCACAAAAATTAATTATTTGTTTAGTTAGGTTATCACCTTCTGTTTTAAGTGCAAATATTACTATGTTACTTTTTCTTAGTTTTCTTTGAAGTTGTAGATTTGTTTTGTATAGTTCGGTGTTTTGATTTTCTAAATCTGATATTCTTTTTTCAAAGCCGTTCAAAGTTGATTCTAGTTCAGTTCTTACACTTGCTATTTCCATTTTTATTTCCGTTTTTACCTCCTCACTCTTATTTATTATGTTATTGTTCAGCTTGGAAATAATATCAGTTATGAAAGCCTTTTGAGATTCACTAAAATCTCCCATTTTTATCTATACTTAATTTTTATGATACCTTTGGTGCGTGTGTGGATTCCTTTATATTCAAGTTGTAAAATTGGGTACATTAAACCTCCCGTGCAATGTACTGTTGATATTGTAGTAACCTACCTTTCTTGGAGTTTCTAGAGTCCTGAAACATGATAGGGTTACTTAAAGTCTCGTGAAAAAGTTAAAATGTGGCTATATTTAAGTCCTGTAAATTTACAGTTGTAGATGAAGGGTTAACTTAGACTAACTTAAAGTAATTTCAAACGAAGATTTGTTGCTTACTGAAAAACATTTTTAGTATTTTGTCAACAATCATTTATGCTTAAGAACAATGAAATAGAATATGGAAATATTTAATTGTATCATAACTTATTTCTATTTATACTCAGCAAAAAGGCATGTTTGCTCAAAATACGTCGCTCAGCACAAAATGTATTTTAATATTATAATGTAGTACTAGGAATTAAAAGTATTTGATAACTAACACATTTATCAAAGGAAATAAGCTATCAAATGAAATGGGTAGTTTATTACACCCCCCTCGTTGGAAAAAGATTGAGCCTTAAAACCTATCTTAAGCGAAATCTTTTAAGCATCGGCGGCCTGTAACAATAGGTCGCCTATTTACATCAGCATTTCTGCTCGGTGAAACAAGTTCTGAGCTTCTGGATGAATAATAAACGGTAGGTTCTGAACTATCTTCCGATTGACTATTAACTGTTTGATTGACTTTAATACATATCTCAGGAATTGTTCCACAACATTTTCTTAATCTAAAAAATCTGCAACACTTACAACAATAACACAAAAATATAATGGTAATTATAATTAATAAAACTAAACCTATGCTTAAATTTAAATGGCTATTTAAAGACGTTGCAACGTTGGTAGCCAAGAAATATTATCTATAGACTCTTCTAACTCTTTTAACTTTTGACTGGCTATATTTAAATTGTCCAGATGCATAGAGACATGGTTAAAATTAGGATTTAAATATGATGTACTTTATTTAATTTTTCCTTAAATTCTTTTTCACAACAGTCTACTAAAATATCAATATTAGGAATAAAATGAATATTATTAGAAATTGTATTTGAATGAATTTTTTGAGTGTTTCACTAAAAGCTCTACAGCTCTCGTTCAAAGTTAAGATTCCATAGTTTGATATAGTTTCTTCAAAAATATGTTTATTACACAAGAGTGTTAATTTTTCAGGAGATTTTGTGATAAAGATCTATGAATTTACTGAAATTAATTGATACCAAATATTATGTTCTAAAGTAATTACTCGTTTATCACAACTTTCTGGAATAGATAAAGTCGATTGCATAAGCTTAACTTGAGTCAAATAGATAGGAGATTCTTGTTTACAAATAAAATTAAAATCTATTAGTTTTATACATTGGTTAAATTGTATTTTGTTAAGAAGTAGGTACTTTTGTCTACCTTCGTTAACTGCAATAAACTTAGAACTAGGTTGAATAAAAATAAACTTATTACTATCCTTAACTAAACGAATAGGCATCGGAGTTAATTTATATAAGGTGAATTCTTGATGATCCGACATTGGTATGTGAATAACATAAATTGTGCATTTTCAATAACAGGCATTATTGGAAAATTTAAGTGACTATATGAGGATACGTTCTGTAATTCGTAAATTAGTTGCTCTGGTGTTAAAATAAAGGGATGGAGTATACCCATTTTGGCAGAATTAATAGCATCTATTAATGAATTTGTTTCGAACTGATATTGTGTACATAACATAATAAAAACGGAAGAATGTTCATTGATTAAACTTTTAAGTTCTGAACTTTGTAACTCGGTTAATTCTTTGTCTAAATGTAAGGCTAATTTGGCTATATTCTCTTTTAAAATTTTTTCATTAGTATTTAATGTGCCAATAGTATCGTTAAAATTACTAATTGTTGTTTGAATTACATGACTTTGTTGCTTAATTATTTGACCAAGATTTTGCTCATTTGAAGTAAATTGATTAATTTTTGAATTATAATATTCTGCGTCGTCGTCATCTAAATTTCCAAAAAGAAATTTTGTTGCTCGTCCTACAAAATTAAATAAACCTCTTTTTATGCGTATATCTTGTATACTTATATCGTCTTTATGACCTATTAATTGGTTAACTAAATTTTTTTTCATTTAATAACCTATTTATTAAGGGATTTGTTATTTTAAGAAAATTATTACATGCATCGTAGAATTTTGCATTTACTATTATGCTCGAACATAATTTAGAAATCAAGGAACTATATGTTTTTAATTGCAATAATTTTTTTTGAATGTTCATTCATATCAACAAAAGTGATTATTTCCCATTGGTCGTTATAAAATTGAGCATTACCTAAATTTTCGTAATGTAGTCCCGAAGAAGTTTGAATTTTCGTTACATTGTAGTATTGGTTTCCGAAAGCTTCTGATATGAAATAGAATAGAATAGGTATTCTGTAACAAAATATTTAAATTAAAATTATGAGTGAAATGGTTTCAATCGATTTTTATGAACTTTAGTTAATTTGTTTCCTACTTTTATTGTACAATTTGTATCTGAATCTATACTTATTATTTCGTACGGACCTGTATACCTAGAGTATAATTTCTTACTACGATTTGTTTTTAAAGTTTCGTCCGTAAGCAATACGGGATCGCCTACGTTGTAATTAATATCTGTAGTATTTTTATCGTAATAATTTTTATTTTGATTTTTAACTTTAAATTCTGTTTTGCTTCTTGACGCGTTATCTGTAATTTTAATTTTAAGTCGTTAATAAAATCGTCATAAATATAAGAAAATTTTGGTTTTTCTGAAAGTGAACTTGGAATTCTAGCTTCCTTACCGAAGAGAAGTTCGTACGGTGTGAATTTTGTACTTGTATGCGGAGTAGTATTATATGAAAAGGTTACATATGGTATCCATTCACACCAATCTGTTTTTGATTTATTTACAAAATGTCTAAGATATTCGCCTATATTTCTATGACATCTTTCTACTATATTACTTTGCAGATGATAACTAGAACAATTTAATTTTAATAGTTTGCAACATTTATTTAATAAATCGGACATGAAATTGGATCCTTGATCTGTTACTATCGAGTTCATTAACCCGTATTTGCAAATTATTTCGGTTACTAATTTATTAGCAATTGTTTGAGAATCCATACTGGAAATTGGTATAGTAATTAGATATTTTGTTAAGGCGTCTCGACAGGTTAATAAATATTTATTTCCATTTTCGCTAACATTTAATGGTCCAACTATATCTAAATAACATTTTTCGAATGCGTTATCCGGCGTATCGGTAATTTGCATCGGGATTTTAATAACTTTGTTGGTTACTTTATTTTTTTGGCAAGATTCGCATGATTTAACATATTCTTTTATATCGTCTTTTAAATTTTGCCAGTTAT